TAGATCATAATTGTGTTTGTCTTTTATTGCTGTGTAACAAATGATCACCAGTTTAGCAGCTTAAAAGCACATACACTTATCATCTCTTCCACAAGTCAGCTGTGTCTCTGCCCAGGGCCTCACAAGACTGGAGCTGGAGCCTCAGCTAAGCTCAGGGTTCTCTGCCAGGCTCACAGGGCAGAATTTATTGCTTTGAAGCTATAGATCTCCTGAAATTTTACTCCTTCAAGGCCAGCAAAAGAGAGAAAGAGAGAGACATGCTGCATTGAGTCTCTGACCTCTAAACCTTCTTTTAAAGGGCTCATCTGATTAGGTCAGACCCACCCAGGATAATCTGTCTTTTGATTAACTTCAAGCAACTGATTAGAGGTCTTAATTACATCTGCAAAAATCCCTTCACCTTTGCCAACTAATGTAATGAAATCAATGGGATGATATCCTATCACTTTTGCTGGATTCCATTGGCTAGAAGCAAGTTAAGGCTCTGCTGACATTCAGGGGGAGGAGATAACACAAGAACATCTCAGAATCTGTTTGCCACCCTAGGCTCCTGGAGAACAGGGAGGTTGCCTTAGCTATCTGTTGATCTGTCGTTACACTTAGCAGAGCAATAGGCATCCCGTAGAGAAATAATTCACACACCCTGAGAATTCAGTGATGGGAAATAAAGTAGTATTTTGAAGACACAAAGTTTCTTTCAGAGCAGTCTCTGAAAACAGGGTTGTTTTTTCCTCCCTCAATAAGTGTTTGTGGGTTGGGGTGGAGGGAAATGTTGATTGGTAACCATCTGAAGAGTATGTGGGCTGAAAAAAAGGACACATGGGCTGGGAGATGTAGGTTCCACTTCCGTTCCTCCTCTAAATCTATGTGAGGTCTGGAAAAAGCCTTCCTTTGCAGGCTTGGTGAGCAGGCAAAATGAGGCGATGGCTGAGAGGGTTTTCAAAGAACAAACTGTGGATACAAAGGTTTGATTGTCCTGACACCAATGGCTGAGGAGCTGGTGATAAATAATACACTATCTCACAAGGAGGGTGTATGACCACAGAACTGGGAGGTTTTGTTTATTTGTTTTTCCCAGTGATCAGCAGCGAGGCACTCTTGAGAGATGTCCCAAGCATCTCCTGTAAACCAGGCAATGCCCTC